CATCCGCGCGACACTTGTCATATCTGTTTCCCAAATAATAATAGTGTTCGCGTTATGCACATAACAGTATGTGGTAAATGTTATAAATTTATAATGTCATCATCAATTCTATTTCCGCAAATGAATTTTGTGTGCATAACAGCTTTTTACATTGTTTATTAGGCTGTCACTTATTTTTTTCACTATAAAGTTAGGTGATAGGTTAAGTTGACATTTTTTTTTTGTAGAATTTGTATGAGAAAAATTATCACTTCTCCTCGGTCAATTACCATAGTTTAAAGTATTTTAAGTTTTAACATGTCTTATATTTTTGTAACGCGTCACATACAAATACACAATAATTATCATCACTCTTCACAGTATACTTACGTTTATAAAGTAAAACTATTCTTGTGTTAAAAATTGAAAGTAACCGACAAACTATTATCAATTAGCGATAAATGAGAAAAACAATATTGTCATAAGCAAACGGGAAAATGTATTAAAAAAACAAGGTAGTGCTCTGCTGTACCTTAGTTGTTGAGTGGAACTCATAATTGAGTGAATTATTTTTGGATTTTGTTAAATTTGAATTTAATGATAATAACCTTGTATAAAATTATTTATAATGAAAAACGATTCTAAGCGAAAACTGTTTAAATTTTGGTAAGCCTGGTTATCAAATAATTATTTTGATAGTGATATTTGATTTGTGTAAAAATTCCCGTTTTTTTAAAATTTTTGTTTGTTTTTTCCGATATTGTGAATTAAAGTACAGGGAATTCTTAATTTTGTCTTCTTATAGAATAAACTAGAAATTAAGTGAAAATTAAAGCATTTTATCGACTATTTGTTGAGTATACAGACATAAAAAAACATATATCACTGTAAAATCCATACATATTCATTACACCGCAGAGAATCTAATATTTATCATCACCAAGCCGGGAAAATAATTATTGTATTATAGATTTTATGAGTCAATCATTAATGTATCTCATGTTTCTCAAAAAAATATTATTTTTAAACTAGACATTTTTAGTAAAAAATAAAATATCATAAATTATCAAAGTTAATTTTAACAAATATTTGAATGCTAAACACAATGTGTTAAATAAATTAGACGTTATCGTTAGTTAAAAAGGAATTTGAAATGTCTTACTCACGACTTATAAACGATATAAGTATAAATTTTCCCATTTAGAAATGGAGCACATTATGAAAAATATCCGCTATGGTCTATAGGAATTGCCGTATAGTTGAATGAAAATAATATCGATGTTGAAGACATGTATTTATTTTTACGTATATATAATTATACAGGATAATACCTGTTACCGTAGTTTTTATAATGATTTAGTGCTTAAATTATTAATTATAAGTAGAGTATATCGTGTACCTTTTAATATACTAGTTAGATCGTTTAATAAAATAAATAAGACTTTTACTAGACATTATAGTAAGTACTATCCTTAATTATTTATTTTTGATTTTTTCTATGTACCTATAAATCAAATCTCATAAAAATTTAGTTTGATGATAGATAGCGGATTTCACAACATGCAGTTTTGGTTTTAGTTTGTTCGTTATTAAAATGTAGATATGATTTGAATACTACATGTCCAATTTAGAAACTTATATGTATAATACAGTTTATTTTGTCTCTTTAGTTTTAAAATTTTGATTTTAAGTATAGTGATTATATAAGTATTAAGTACCATTAGCTGTGATAAATTTTGTAATTGGTATTTATTTTATTATAATATATAGTGCTAACAATGGTCAAAAAAAAGTTAAACTTTACTTCCTATTGTATTATTATAGGTACGTTGTGATAATTCTTTTTTTTTTTTGTTCAATAAGTAAAATATTACAATAAATGTTGTAATCGTAATATTGCAAATCTAATATATTATAATAAATTTTAGACACTAAAACTGTAAAAGTTTCAAACTGAATTCGCGTGTACACACATGGCCAAATTGGAATACTATATAATATGCGTAGGTATAGATTTAAATAATATCTTGGCTTTTAAAATATTTATTTTTTTTCGTTTTAGAGATTTAACGAAATTTATTGTTTTTGAAGTTGGTATCATACAAAAGTTCAAACTGAAAATATATATTAAAATATTAAAATTAAAATGGCAGGTTGAAAATTTATAGTTATTATACTATACAAATATTACTGGATTATTTAGATGTACGTATCTAACGGTAAAAATATATTTGTCTTGTATAAAAGAGTATTAATCAAAAGTTAACTGTATTAAAACAGGTCAATTGGCATGAATCTTAGCATCTTTACATTGCTATACCCTTGAATTTCAAAAAATAAACTGAAAATAGTTATTAAACGATTATACTTTCTACTGATTGCACCTTTTTTATGTAAATTCCACTGATATATATTTAAAAAAAAAACATGTAGGTATATATAATATATCAGGTACTAATTTATGATGTGTAAAAATAAACGTATACATTTTTCGGAAATTATTTTTGATTAATTTAATTTAAATTTTTAAATTTTAAGTTAAACATAAATATGTTTATATATTGAGTATAATACTCACACTTTCTTCATTACTTTAAAGTCAACATTATTAACACATTGCATTCAATGTCACAGATTATTATCTTTGTTGCTTAAATGTTTGATTGTTGTTGTGGATATAATAAAGTAATACAAATTGTAAAGTTAATGTGTTTCCCGTGATAGTCTGGTTAAGCGTATTAACCGTATATACTAATTTTATGCTTTATCTAACAAGGTTAGGTTAGGTTAGGTCAAAGTTAGAAATATACACACTAAATTTATAGTTTTAATATTTTTTTTCGTAATATACAAATTTGTAAATGTATACCTATGGTTTTTAATTTTATTAATATTATTTTAATTTTACATTAATTTAGTATCAATGGAGTTGACATTTTTTTTTTTACAGCGCGAAATACTCGCGAAATGAAATTTACAAGTTATAAATCTTACCCTAGATTCGATTACCTATATATCGGTGGAATTTACATGCACCCCATTTCTTATGAATCATAAAATTATAGACTTTATTTATCTATATACTTTACTAGGTATGCGATATTATTATATTATTGTGTTTAAAAAAAGTTTTGTATTTCATTTATTGAATTCGGGATTATGTACATAAAGTGTTATATAGTTTGACGAAATTCCGTTTGTGAATATTGATCTATAAAACTATAACCAAATACAACTAACGATAACATATAGGATAGTGTGTACTAAAACAGCGATCTTTCACCAAGATTTGATTTGCATGTATTTACTCTTTAGTCACATGAAAATTCCCATTTTTGATTATTAATTATTTCTATAGTAAGTACATTGCCTGTTATCAATTTTTATCATAAATAAAATGATTATGAAGTTATTGATAATTATTATTGTTTACATTTATGATGTACTTCATATTTTATTATATTTGTATTATTTGAATCACAACATTTTTTATATAACTCGTAATTTCGGCTTACCTAATATTAAGAAATAAATGTTAATATATTACTATATATATATAATATATATAGTACATAATTTACAGTAACAATGACATAAAAATATGTTTGTGCGATTTCAACTATAATGAGTAATGACTGTAGTATAACGTCCCCTTCTAAGATTTCATTTCACACATTTTCAAAAGATTAAAACAAGTATCTAATTATTTAAACAAATTGGGTACAAATGATAAGCATAACGTTCTGCACTTTTTCATATAGACGTTGAAAACTTAATATAGTCATACTGCTAATAAGTAAAATAAATCACGCGGGGCAATGAAAAGAATGGTTCGCCCACATCAATATATATACCAATATCAGTATGTAATACGTATGCCATGTGTGCTGTATAATATTGTTTCTACTATAGTCGACATTTTTTGCATCATCGTTTACACTGTTTACAGCGATTACATAATGTTGTAGTCATAAAACAAAACTATATAGACTATAGAGTTGATGGTCTCGAAACGTTCCGCCCATCTATGACCGGTAGGTACATCAAATACATTACACAAAGTCGCTTATACTTGTAATCACGGATTTGTTTAGGAATATATAGTTATCTTGTATGCATCCACAATCGTTATTCAGGAATTTGAATTTATTGTATTTATGTATTATACTATACATAGATATACGTTTGGAAAATTCACGAAAAACCTTTGAAAAATCATATATTGTAAATCTTAGAGAAACACATGCATATCGAGTACTTATACCTATATTATTGAGCATTATCGTTGGTCAGTTTGTTTAAAAAATTGGTAATGTGCTCGTATTTTGATGTAATATGTAACATTCAAATGTGTCTAATTTTAATACTAACTCGAACATTATTGGTATTCAAACGAACATCAAAAGATGTCTGGGTACAATTTTTGTAAATATACTTACGCCGGTTATCATACAAACATGATTAACACATAAAATGTTGTATAAATAGTTATTTATTAACTAAATACAAAATACGGTACGATTATATAAGTATGTAATACGTGAAAAACAAAATTTTATTTAAAATATTACATAATAATATGTATCTATGGTTTAGATTGTTTAGAATAATAAACTATATTTCAGTCGAATTAAAAATTTCCAAATAATATAGTTATACCTATTACCTAATATGTCCTATAACAATGAGACATTATACCCGTCAACGTGGTCGGAAGAATTATAATTCATTTATGCTCAAGTTCGATTGTACAACAAGGGAAACGTCACCAGTAATATTGTTTAATCTAAACGAGCCTCCCCCTCTCTAAATAATTGATTTAGAAATTTGAATCTTTTCGATTATACGGTCGAACTTGGAGACTGGAGTGCCAACAGGCTTTAATCGCCAAACGGGTTTTGTACTTTCGCCGTACAAAACGCAGCTAGCTTTAGGTAACCTGCAGCTGATCACCCGACGGATATCGCACATACACAATACGTTCTTTACGACGAATAAAAAAAATAAATATTATACATTACCTGTACTCGGGACTCGGTGAGACCGATCCGCATGGCGATCTCCTCGCGCATGAAAATGTCCGGATAGTGGGTCTTGCTGAAGCATCGCTCCAGCTCGTTGAGTTGTGCCGGCGTGAACCGGGTCCGATGTCTCTTTTGCTTGTTCGGCTTTCCGGCGTCGTCGCCGTTGAGCCCACCACCACTACCGGCGGCGGCCACAGCGGCGGCAGCGGCCAGCCCGTGACCGGCCGCGGTAGACAGGTCGAAACCGCCGCACGACAACCGAAACGGTCCACCACCGCCGCCGCCAGCGCCTCCGGTACCGGTGGACAACTGATGCGGCGGCGACGGGCCGTTGCCTTGCTGCAGGTGACCGTTGCCTGTGCCGAGTCCGTGACCGGCTCCGACGTCGTGCACACTTCCCCCGCCGCCGCCGGTCTGTAACTGGTGTAGCGATCGGTGTTTGAGACCATCGAAGTCCTTATGGCCTGCAGTGCGCAAACGACATCAATAATAATAAAAAAACACATTAATACATTTTACACGATGCGAGAGCGCAACATATTAAATTTTAAATTTACAATATTATACAACACATATTAATAGCATACAAATGTGTTGCATATTAGAACTAATACAACATAATATATTAAATTATAATATCACACCGTATAAAAATTATTGCTGTATGTACGTAAAAAAGTTCCATGACGAAGATTCGACGTGCGCAATAGTTATTGTCAAACTTCGGCAAAGCACACCAGCTGTATAATATGAAGACGGATGTAAACATTTGTGAGGTGTATTATTATTACTATCATGTCGACACTGCAGAAGTTTATAACGATCAAGGAATATTATATCGAAATCGGATACAGTTGGTAGGTGTAAATACAACGGCAGCCTATAATTATTATAAATACCCGTGAAAATGTGTGTGTGTGTGTATATGCAAGTATGTTTGCGTGTATGTATAGGACGTCGATATTATTTGTGGCTTGACCGAAGACTGAACGGGTGTTAGAAAGAATGACGACGACGACGCGCCGCCGGTGCAGGGCAACGCGATTATACGAGTATTGCGCGAGCGAGGGCGCGTACGATAACGGTGCGATTGTTACGGGGCTAATTTGGCGTCGTAAATTAAATTTAACCGACCGTCCAATCAAAACCCGAGTTTCTCAATAAAATCAACCGACGCCGGTGTGCAGAACGCGTATATGAATGACGGGACGAGGTGCAAACGCGCACGATAATAACAACAAACTTTTATTATAATATAAATAATATAATGTTCGGGTCAAGTTATAGGTTAATGAGTATAATACATCCACAAACACACATACACAGGGTGATTCATTTAGCATGCTCATACTATTTTTTTTTCTCCAACAAGATAGCTGTTCAAAGTTTGATTTTTGAAAATTTTAAATTTACCTACCTGATGACCATATTTTCAAACACTTGACATTTTTCGCGATTTGAACGAATTTATTATTAAACGCAAAAATAAGAGCGAGTGCGCTTGGTGAATTACTCTGTACAATCTTTATATATATACAGCGCATAGGTATGTATAGGTTAGAAGGCGGGATATGATAGACATGTCACATGTGCACTCATCGTTGTCCGTACGAACTCATCGCGTCCCCCGCGCCCTAATGCTTATACTTATATCCTTCCTGTTCTTTAGCTCTTACATTCGGTATTCGATTACTGTTATATTTATACCCACAGACGAAATACAATTATATCATATGATAATATTGGTTCGCGTTACTTATAATTTGACATTTACTAGTAGGTATTATATACATATATATCTATTTATGTGTTTGTGATAGGTACATTCAATTAACATAATATTTACAATTAATATCGACAACATATTATAATAGTCTGTCTCTATATTCTATAATAATACTATATGCCTACATAAACTGTGGAAAGTTAGGCAAGTGCTTCGTACTCTTATAGAGTAAACTTATAGGATAAATGCATTTTTTATATGATTTTGTATATTATGTATGTATAAGATCTATTCTCAGTTTGTGTTAATTAATTTGATGGATTTATATCATGAGCAACATTTAAATATAAAAAACAATTAAATGTATAAAGATGTTGTAGTAGAAAAAATGTTCATGCTCCATGTGAAATTTAAGAAAAAAAAAATAGGTATAGGTATTGTTTGTATTTGTTATTACTCTTTTAATATATATTTACAAGATTTGACTAAATTTGCAGTTTTTAATAACTTCTAATTTTTTCACCTTTGATTGTCTATATAGCTAGGTGTATAGGTTAGTTTGTCTATTAAAATTTTATTGAAGACTATGTACGATACAAATTCAAAAATTGTGAGCTCCTTTTAAATATGTAAAACTACGATAGTTGTGAAAATTTTAAATTTCAAATGGAGGTGTGATCTTGCTCGTAACTAATGAAACACAGTTTATGGTTTCTTTAATAAATCTATTAATATACATGACACTTATACAAAATATAATTGTATAATATATTAAAATATAGGTACATATTATACTACGTATGCGTAGTGGGTACCTATACAAGTACCTATTATATTACGTGTCGAGTATCTATATTTATATTTTGTCAGTTATTTTTATTGTTCTAGTACCTATAATATATAGTATGGGTATGCGTGAAAAATTATCATTTTGTTTTATTATTTTTTAAAATTTTAAAGTTAGATTTCACGTGCATGCTCAACTTTATATTTACTATCACCACATTTACTGATTTTAAATAATTTAAAATACCATTTTGTTTTCTTTACATTATATAGATACTATAAATGATGTATAGAGATATATCTATTTAAAATAACAATAATGGGTATATAAGCTATATAAAGTATAAACATGTTGTAACGTGTATATAGTTATTAGTTATATTATATGGTCGTAAAAATTTAAGTGAATATTTATGAATATAAATATTTTATAAATAGTTCGTGAAATGCCCAAGTTATTCAATACAATATACCTACCTACTGACAAGACACTGCATATTTTTTCATCGTATGGTCACTTGTATACTGATTTTGTCTTTTTTTAAATCGGCATTTAACCAAATAGCAATTGAATGTTAGACAAATATTATATATCCAAAAATATAACTTTTAGGCCAAAATAACAACGTGTTAATTATCCATAATCAACTTATAGGATTTTTATTTTATATTGTTGCTTGTTAGATTTAAGTTGTATGTGTGAAAATATTATGTGAATAATTTTATTAATATAGATATAACGTATAGTAATCATATGGTATTAATATTTGGATATAACAAATGGTTAATTTTATAATTTACCATAGTGATTATAGATGATATATAACTATAGATACTATAAATTATAAACATATGTGATAGTTAAAATTAGTAAAAATGCTCAATGTATATCAAGTAATCATTGTTGTAAATAATTCGTTATATTTACACTCTATGGAAAGCGAATTATATAATTTATTAATTTTAAACATCATGAAAAATGTATTTAAGGAAAATCATAGTTTTACATTTTATAAACTTATATCACAAAATTCAACTTATAACTTATAGTTTGTACTGTTTGTAGATGGGTTTAATGTATTGGTGTGGCACTTAAATTTGTTTAAAGATTTTATTTTATTCTTATTAGATTTTAGGCATTATACATTATCATTGCGATTAATGTTATTTTTCAACATGTAAATTATATTATTATTATCATACATATTATTATGTGTATATTGTGTATTAGCTTTATAGTAGATAGGTACATCTATGGATGTACCAATGATTTCAAGTTTATTTATTGCAATAAATAAATTTGGAATCAGTTACAATTTCATTAACTACCTATCTACATTGTTTTCGAAGAGTACTTACAGATCATTAAATATATATTATATATTTTTATTTTATAAATATATTTAAACTGGTAGGTATTAAATGATTAACGTGTATAATGATAAATGATGATGCATACATAAACAATAGGTACACATGTTGACATTTTAATTTATTAGTATTAAAAATATTATATAACGTTGAACAAAAAAAGTATCATATTGAAAATTCCGAATAATGTGTTAGTGAGGAGGGAAAGTATTATAGTGTCCCGGTTTGTAATTCTTTTTAAATAACGACCCTTTTTAAACAGTATATAATAATTATATTTCTAGGTATAATATATTTAAAACAATATGCGCGCGAACTCTAAACTAGAAATTTACATTTGTTATGCCCGCGTGTTCTATAATAATTGTACGGTAATATGCTTACCGCCGACATTGTTCGGGCCGATGATACTGATGTTGTTTAGCATGTTCGGCCTTAACCCCGGCCTAAACGGTATCGACGACAGAATTGTGATGGATTTTTGGTTCTCGGCGTGTGGGGGCAATTTTTCTTATCCGGAACCGCGATGAGGTCGGCGAATATGGTAGCGCGAAAAACCGCTATACACTCTCGGTTTCGGATCGCGCGACGGTGGCGGCGTCTGACCGCCCGCAACAGTCGAACGAACCACCGGCGGCAGACGTCCCTCGAGGAGGGCACGGCCGACGGTCGGCCGAGGTCGTCATAGACGCGGTGGTTAGGTCTTCCTGACAGATCGGCAGTGGAAAACGATGTGAAACAACAGCGACGAGGATAGTGACTCCTGAAATTGGCGAGAACGGACGCTGTCGCGTAACTATATTTACTGTCAATACTGTTGTCTTTTACACGCAGCACCGGCGCGAATGGTGGGCCGCGGAGACAATAAAACAACAAACGGACTAAGGACTTTATACACACGGGTACCCGATAAAATATTGTGTTATGATTGCGCGCTGCAAGCGATATATCGACGGCGGTGCGACGCGATGCGTAGTACTAGCGCGTGTGATGTGCGACCACGACGACGGCGCGGGTGTTGCATTCGGAAAACACGTCAGCGACACAGTGGGGGGGCGGCGGCGGCGGCGGCGGTTTTTACGGTTCGCGCCGGTACTGTACACACACCACCTATATACGTCGCGGCCGCGGCCCCCGGCGGCGACGCGCGTCGTGCCGAGAGGCGTCGGCATCACCGACAGCAGCATCCGGCCGCCGCTCCGATTGGACCAATCGGCGGCCCGCGTGGGTGTGGTCGACGTCGGACCCGGGAGCCCCGTCGACGCTGCACGCCGCGCGTTCACTCGTCGTCCGCCCGCCGTCCCGTGCCGCCGCGCCCGCCGCCGCCACCGCCGTTGCTTGCCCGGCTGGCCCGCGGCACTCGAGTAGATGATAGTTATGCGAATTGAAAATGAATGAATCCTAGAAGCGACTTGAGAGACAGAGAGAAAGAGAGCGAGCGAGCGAACGAGACTTGGATGGAGAACGTGTAAAAATAACCGGAGTCGTGGCGAGAATAGTGGAGTGAAGTGAATAACTTTGGCGGGGGCCGGCGCGAGGGGGTGGAAAGCGCTCACCGTTTTTCGTGTTTTTTTTTTTTCATTTCTTCCGAATTCCCAGGTATATAATATTATACTTACAGACGGGCTAATGAAATATTGATTAGAGTAGGTATCCTGTAGCATATAACGTCAAGTGCCGCGCGTTTACACCGACCGAGGGAGCAAGCTTTTATAATATCTTCAGCGTCGTATATACGTCCCGATTTTTTCTTTTCTTTATATTTTGTTTGATTTTTATTGACATCGTACGGTTTACTTGTTTTCGTTGTGTGCATAAATTTCTAATATTTCTATATATATATATGATATAACGTATGATTAAACGAACTACATATACGTATACCTATTTGTATAATATATGTATATTGTATATTGTATACGTATGCGCTGCACATACGAGCGGCTACATTCGCAATATGAATTTATTGCGCGCGGGGTAGATATCAGAAACGACATGGTTTTGTATATTGTAGATATTAACATAATATTATAAATACATTCCCTCTGCGAATTCTACTTTTAATATATATATGATGTATCTATTAATATATTATCATATACACATTATATATTTATTTACCTGTATACACTGCAGGCATATCTGCAGATTTTGCAGCCCCGACTTCAATGTGACCATTTTTCCCCGAAGACGACGTATATTGTGTTTCACTCCGACGTTTACTACTGCACAGTAATTTATCGTGTATGTTTTAGACTAATTTTTTCCAACTACATAGGTAATGATCTATAACTCATGTTAAGTGTGGTATGTATTGACTATGATTGTATTTTTATTTTATATCGAGTGTATATATTACATAGTTTGTATAAAATAATAACGTATTTCGCCGATGGGATAAAATTGTCCATGCAAAACTTATTTGTTATTATTTATTTTTAAATTCCAACTGTGAACGTGTACCTACCAACAATTTATCTAATTGCGACATGGATTTATATACATACAACAAACATATTTTATGTATATTTGTACAGTATCTATATATGTATATTGTATATCGTGCGGTAATAAATAATTAAATGCATTTAATATTTCAATTGTAAAATATTTTTTATCATAATTAATAATTATTTATTTCTGTATTGACTGAAAATACTATATATAGTCATTACTTGTATGTTGTTTTAATTTAAAACCTTTGTCATAAAATATTAATAAGATATATTTTGGTAATTGGTATATTAGGGATTAACGATTCTATGTTATATATTTATTTAATCCTACTATAGTAAATATAACATTATTAATTATTATTATTATATCGTATTATCGTAATTATGTAAAAAGCGGAAAAAAATTGTAAATACACGTTATTAGTAGCCTCTGATTGATAATGAAGAATAAAAAATATAATAAAGTGTTCCAAGGTAAATTATTATACGAAAAAAATTATTACTTACGATGGTATAAAATATATATACGCATTTGTACTTTTTCAATTTTTAATTTATAGTAAAATATGGAATGAAATTACTCTAAATTTTATATTATTATTTACAACACTTAAATAAAAAAGAATCATAATTATAATTTATAATACATTAAGGTTTTTGATAATGGAGACAAATAAAGTTGGAATTTTCTGAACGTCATAGAACAAGAACCTGGTCCCTGACCCAAGATAAATCATTGCAAATAACTTCAAAAAGGATATAAACGATTATCATTTTAAAGATAGTTTTATAATACATTTATTCAAGCTGTCTAATACTATTATAGTTGAATTTTTCAAGTTTCGGGTTTTTGAACTTAATATTTTTTTTTTTAACAATAACAAAATTTGTTTAAAGATTATTATTTTTATGAGTTTGAAATATTTTGATGTCTTATGTCGTCAAAATTATATCTTGTATTAAAATGTCAAGCATTATATATTAAAAATACAGTATCTTTAAATTTTTAACTGCAAAATAATTAACATTTTTATGATTTTATGATTACATATACCTATCAGTATCTAGAAATCTAAATACTATTTAAATTTAAAACATTAAAATCAATAAGTTCATATTATACAAAAAAAATTAAAATTAAAATAGATACATATTATGTATAATTGTCTTTTTATAGATATTTGAAATTTTATTTTTTATAACATTGGCTGTTGGAACAAACAATAACTTTTTTTTTAAATATCAATCTCAGGAAAATAAAACTTCATTTTTACGTATATTATTGTTTTATACATGAAATACAATTTTCAAAATATTTAGATTAACTTTACGCTGTTTATACAATATAACATTCGCGAAGTATACGTGAGATGCTGTAGGTATTGACTTATATAAGAATAATGCTATTTATGAAATATAATTTTATATTTATTAGTATAAAGTAAATGCAAAGGTTTTAAGAAAAAAAATTCAACCCGTAGGTACTACTTAAGTCTTTATAGAAATATAATTCAATAGTAGGCAAATATATTAACATAATATTGAGTAGTAATTTAAATAAGTTATAAAATATCCATATAGAAATAAAGAAAGACATTTCGTTAGAATCATTTTTCATACCTAAAATGGACCAATGACCATATATGATGATTTATCATTGAATTCAAATTTAAAACATCTTTACAGTAAACAAATCAATGGCCAGGATTACCTGAAATTAACTATTCAGCAGAGAAATGTCTCTGTTTTTTACTTATTAAAATTATGGGCATTATTGTTCTCCTATATAGATAATTGCAATAGTAATATATCAATGTATGCCAAACTGCAATAATATATAATATGTATATCTTTTATCAGAACTCCGATAGTTACTGAATATTTATGATTTTTAAAGTATAGAATATACTGTTTATAGCCTTAAAGGTACCTACTACATTTGTTGTATAAGTTTTATTTATTAACATTATTTTTTATTCTTATGATGAAATTTTATGAAATGTATGGGTACCTACCTACTATTTGGTTTTATATTAGGAATTTTTGATTTTAACTTTCTATAAAAGTAACAAATAAATTCACTTTCCTTTCAAAAAAGATATTAAAATTTAAAATCGAATCATTTTTTCTATTATAAATCGTATATTATATGAGTATGCGTACACAAAAAAACCACACATTATTGTATAATAATGTATTATACCTACATAATTCATTATTGCTCTTAAAATCTATGTAAGCAAATGATTTAATATATTAAATCCTTGTAGTGACTGTTTATAACTTTATTGACAATTTCACTATGACAAATTTTTGTTTGGTGTGCGGCCAGCAAATGATGATGACAGTGATGATGATGATGAATAACGATGTTACAAGGATTCGCACTAAAAAGGAATTCCTCTAGGGGCCGATCAGATAATTATTCTACTTTATCTTAAAGTTCTATTCTCGGTGGGTCGCCGGATAAATGTTTAAAATAATAAGTGTCGCAAATCTCTTTATATACACTTATATCTTATAAAGTAATTTATCTGTACAAATATAACATAAGTAAATACATTTTTTTTTTTAATAAACCTTAAGTAAAGCCCTGATACTAAATAACCTAGTCTCTAATATATATTATATAGGTACAAATAATAATAATTTTAAATACATTTATGTTTATAAACATTCATTTACTTGAACAGTATTAACTATTAACCATTATTTTACATAAAAAAGTATCATAAATACATTTTTTCTATCTGCGTATTTCCAAGCAGAATATTTTTTTGAAAATTTAAATTTTCATGTATAAAAATTGAATTTTGAATAATTAATTAATTAGTAATAACTTATAACTTAAAGTAAGTATTTAAAGTTTAGATGTGTGTAATAGATTTATCAGTCGCCACTCCACTTTGCTCAACTAAACTTTAAATATTTATAACTAATTAACTAATCGTTCGAAATTCAATAATAGTGCTTGAATACAAATTTCATGAAAATTATTATCATGTAAAAAATCATTCAAGTGTTATTCATATTTTGTTAAAGTTCATATTAAATATCAGTAATCACTATTTAATTAAGCATAAATTTATTAATATTCTCATAAATACCTCATTACTTAATAACTTCGAATATAGCTTGTATGTCATTCATTAAATATTAATTTAAAAATGTTGGTACCTACAATATTTTAAAATGAATGTAACTAGGTAGGTTCTTTAATACAAAGCATCTTTTATACAACAGTATAGTTTTCAAAAGTTCAACAAAGGTACGGTCATTGAAATATTCAAAATATTTTATGAAAATAAATAGTGTAGTATTTCCTTTTATAAATATTTAACTAATTATTATTAATACATATAAATTTGATAAATAAAAATTGATATTTAAATACAAAATTTTATTTATATTAAAAATAACAATCATTTATATTGTTTTCCTAAGTTTATGCAAGCACGCAATAGTATTGTAATATGCATATGGAAAAGTAATCATAGTGAGAAGCACTAATATTAAATTTATAAGTATAATAAAATTTAGACTTTGTAATACATTCATACAACTACTT